CAGGAGTCCAGGCCCCCAGCCCCCTCCTCCCTCAGATCCAGGAGTCCAAGCCAACCCCTCCTCCCTCAGACCCAGGAGTCCAGGCCCCCAGCCCCTCCTCCCTCAGACCCAGGAGTCCAGCCCCCAGCTCCCTCCTCCCTCAGACCCAGGAGTCTGGGCCTCATGCCCCCTCTGCCAGCACCCAAATGTGGGCCCTCTAGACCCCTCCTACCTCAGGACTGAGGAGCCCACTCTTCAGCTTCCTTTTTTCTCTTATTCAGGAATTTTTCACCCTGGCCCCCCTCCCCCACACTGGAGTCTGGACCTCCAGACTCTCCCACCCCCCGCAGGACGCAGGAGTCCCAGCCCCTGGTTCCCTTCTCCCTCAAAAAGCCAGGAATCAAAATCCCTCCCCCTGCTGCCCTCTGGACCCTGGAGTCCAGGCCTCCCTTCCCTGCCTCCCTCAGGATTCCCACCAGCCCGAGGGGCTGGACACCACCCCCCACGGCCCCACCTGCTCTGGCCTCCCGGGGTGCCGGCCACCCTCCAGAGGAGCCCCAGGCCTCCGGTTCCCACGTCGGGCGCTCTTCCATGGCCCCAAGTGAAACTGTTTCCGTCTCTAGGGGCCAGCTGGGCGGGGACTGCCCCAGGGAAGGAAGGGACCTGCGCAGGTCCGTACCTGGCCAGCAGGTGGCTCGGGGCGGGGAGTACGAAGTACTTGCCACCAGGTGTCATGGCGGCTGCTCCGGAAGGTCTCCCAGGAGCCGAAACGCCCGGATGCCGGAGCGCATCACCTCGCGGCCGCGGGAGCCCCACACCTGTTGATCACCCCCAGACACATGTACTGTCTTCGTGAAACATTTTATTGGGGGAGTTCACACATTCTGACCCTATTTTAGGCCAGAGAATGACAAGAGAGTGACGGGAGCGCTGGGACTGAGGTGGCTCTGATGGAAGCTGCAAGAACCATGTCCAAAGGCCTGCTCCTTGGTGCCTCAGTTTCCCCGTTATGAAATGGGAGGGTTATGTTCCCTGCCAGGCTTGAAACACTGTTCTATGAACGTCGGGCAAAGGCCTCGAGAGAGGTTCCCCACTCCCAGAACCTGCCGGGCAGCTCCCGCCCCACACCGTGGGGCCAGAAGAGGGGAATTTGACGGGGAAACCCTGTGGCCCAGGGGCCCCTGCTGGGGGCGCTCGCCTGAATCCCTGGATGCTGGGGCGGGGACAAAGGGGGCTTCTCCTCTGGACAACACCTGGACTTTCCAGGAGGGAAAACAGCCTCCTGAGCCCTCAGGGCAGACGGCAGGGGAGCAGGGAGGGCACCCCCCGCCCCGCCTTGCTGCATGGGGTGGGGGGGCAGAGCTGAGGAATGGGAATCCTCCCCAGGCCCTCAGCCAAATTCGGCTCTTTCTGGGAAAGGACACAGCAGCCTGGTTCCCGGGATTCCCAGGCAAAAGCGTGGTGGCTGGACTGACGGGCCGAGGGAGCTTCGTGGCGGCAGCCGCCTCCTCCCTACTCCTCCCGGAGCTTTTCTGGGCCAAGGCTGGTGGCCTGGGGCGCCGTCTTCTTCCGGCTGGGGCTGCCCCCACCCAGGGCCAGCCCCAGCCCCAGGGCGGCCAGGGCCAGGATGTGGATGCAGAAGTAGATGGAGGCCCAATACCGGAGCGTGTCTCCCAGGGAGAGCAGCACGAAGCCCATGCACATGTAGTCATAGGCACGCATCTTCAGGAACCAGTGCACCCAGTCCCAGGCCTTCTGGGCCCCGGGGCTGAGCCGCCCCCGCAGGGCTGACTCCAGCCGGCCCTCAGCCGCCAGGCACAGCGGGATGGTCAGGAAGCTTAAGTAGTAGCCGGGGTGCAGGCCATGCCAGTAGGCGCTCAGCAACATGGTCCAGGCGCTCCTGGGGGAGGGGCTGAGGTTCAGGACCCAGGAGCCCAGCCCCCAGCCCTCCTCCCTCAGACCCAGGAGCCCAGCCCCCAGCCCTCCTCCCCCAGACCCAGGAGTCCAGGCCCCCAGCCCCCTCCTCCCTTAGAAATAGGGGGCCCCCAGGGCACACAAACTCAGATCCAGGAGTCTGGGCTCCCTCACCTGGAGATTAACAGAAGAGGCACAGCAAAAGCTTGGGTCCCCAGGAAAAATAGAAAGTTCTGTACGGTCTGAGGGAGGCTGGAAATAGACTCAGGGATCTGGGCCCAGATGGACGAATGCCCTTGGAATGGACCACACAGCTTAGAAGGTGGGATCCTGAAGAGGGCAGAGACGGGCAGTGTTCAAAGATGGCCAAGATTCAGAATCCTGGATGAGGAGGGAGGGAGGGAGGGGCAGGCGCCTCTCCCACTTACAGGAAGATGCTGTAAAGCACGGGAACAGCGGAGACGGCCAGACCCAGGAGAAGGACCATGGGGAAAAAGAAATTCGCTGTGGAAGCCCGAAAAGTGCGGGAAGCTGGGGAGCAGGTGGAGAAAAGGGTGAACTGTAAGGAGAAGGAGACACAAGACTCTGAGTCCTAGCCTGTCCTTCATCATCCAGGAGTCCTAGTCCCTCCTCAGTCAGGAACCAGAAGTCCCTAGTCCTTTGCTGCCATCAGACCCGGGAGTCCGGGTCCCCTCTTCCCTTGAACGGAAAAGTTACGACGCCCTAAACCCCTCCTCCCACATCCAGGAGTCTGTCCTCCAGACCCCTCCTCTCTCAGGATCTAGTAGTTGGGGACCCTTGTTCTCCTCCTCCAGGACCCAGGAATCCGCCACACTCCTCACCTTCTTCAAATAGAAAAGTAGCAGGAACTTGGCCGTGTTGAGCAGAGGTAGTAAAGGGCAGAAAAAACTCCCTACCCAGACCACCGTCTGTGCGTAGATGAGCCCGAGCACCTCGTCAGGCACCTGGAACTCCTGGGTTCCCACCACACGACCCAGCGCCCCGGGACAGAGGCCACAGATCAGTCTGGAGGACAGGGCGGGGCCGAGTCAGACGCGCGGCGGCCCCCCCTTGCCCCGCCTCCGCCGTCCCGCCCACCAATGGGAAGTGAGCAGATCTGAGTAGGGGTGGAGCTTTCAAAGTCCTGGAGGGTGTGTGTCCAGAGGCCGACGCCCGAGGGCTAGAGGTAGGGGCGGGGCCAGAGGGAAGTAACTAGGTAACAGGGGGCCTGGTCTGCGGACCGAGGGCAAAGAAATGGAGCAGAGGCGGGGCTAGCAAAGGGGGTGGGGGCACTGCGAGGGGCGGGGCTCTCACTTCCGAGGAAACTGGATGAGCAGCATGATCGCCACGCCAGTCAGCAGGTCAAAGAGCAGGAGTTTGTACATCTCCTGCCCCAGCCGAGTCTCCCAGCACTGAGGAAGGAAGTCATGGGTCAGAAAGACCTCAGGACCCAGGCACCTGGGGGCCCAAGCGTCCACGTCTCCAAATCACAAGCGTGTGAGATCCTAACAATCCTTTCGGGGCGGGGAAGGTGCTCAGTTTTTTTGGAACATCCGTAACCTTGTCCTCAAAGGGAGGGTGTTCTAGCACCTTGAGCTCCTCCTTCCTCTCAAACCTGGAGTCTGGGCCCGCCTAGCACCTCCTGTCCTTGAAAGACCCAGGATTTGGGGCCCCTCTCCTCACCGGTAGTTCCTTGTAATTGTAGCCACAGGTTTTGCACTCCTCAGCCTCAGCCTTGCCCTCACAAGTGATCTGATTCCAGAGAGAGAAGAGCAGGACGAGCAAGGAGGCCAGGCGGAGAAACACGGTCCTGGCAAGGAGAAGGGAGAAGCAATCAGCACCGACCAGTGGTCACCCTGCCGCCACCCCCACCCCCCGCTGCATGGAACATGCTCACAATTCTCCCCTCTTCACAGATGAAGAAACCTGGGCTCTGTGAACAAGAGGCAGGATTTGAATCCAGATCTCACTGGGTCCCGTGTTCTGGGGATTTCCGTGCCTTATGTACTAGAACCCGTGTCCTTCAGACCAGCCCTGCTATCATCCCTAGCACACCCCCAAAGGCTAGAACCTGAGCAGGACAAAAACAATCTGGCGGCTCCTGGTGTAGCCCTCCAGTGGGGCAATGAGCTTGAACACAGGTGGCAGCAAGAAGTTGACCCCAGAGATGAAGATGGACGGAAGGAAATCCACCCCGAGCTTTAGCAGTGGCATCTGCTGGACAGGGGGCACCTCCTGGGAGAAAGGGTGGACCAAGCAAAGAGACCCTGGGGTTCTGGTCCTCCAGAACCTTGCTAAACATCCTCCCCCAGCCTCTTCTTCCTCCAGCACCCGAAGTCCAAGGTTCAAACGTACGCCCCCTTCCCTCCTAAGAGCCCAGGAATTATAGACTTCAGTCCCCTCCAACCTTGGAAAAGTGCCGGGGTCACAGGACTCTCCTCCCCCAGGACCCTCCACACCTGCAGCCGCACAGAGGCCCCTGTAGCCCAGTAGACTCCATAGAAGGCTGCTCCCAGGAGTGCAATCACCAGCAGATTGAGCAGGATCCGCACCGACCACACCCGGGCTTGCTGGCCCAGGGTCCGTACCGCGGCCTGGCGCCGCACCACAGCTTCTTCCAGCTCCACCTGAGGCCAGGAAAGATGTCCATTTGGGCTCAATTCCCCCACGCCCTGCAGGTGTTTCAGAGCCCCCTGCTCAACCGGACCTAATAGAGCAACACTCCTCTAAGGGCTTCTACAATCCTTGCCCGAGTCCCCCCGACGGTCCTCTGGGGGACAGTTTAGATCTCCCGGCCCCGCCCCTCCACAGCCCCGCCCAGCACCCCACACCCCGCCCTCCGAGGCCCCGCCCAGCACGCGTGCCCGGTGCGGAGTTCCAGTCCTACTTTATCAAGCCCCTTCGGGCCCTGCCTAGCTCTTCGCCTCGTACGGAGGAGCTTCCGGCCCCGCCCCCTCCCCGCTGCTTGCTTTTTCCTGGACGCTTTGACGTCAGGTATCCCTATTGTGGGCGCCTCCCAGCCCTCTCATTTCCCAAGGGCCGCCTCCTTAGAAGAAAGCTCCACCCAGCGTCTCTCGGAGCCCCGCCCGTGTTCTTGGCCCCGCCCCCTCCGGGTCCCTAAGCGCACCTGCAGCTCATAGAGGATGCTGCGCTGGCGCAGCCGCACGTGCCCATCCCCGCAGAGGCCGAAGTCCCAGGCGGAGAACACCCGGTGGCTGTAGCTGGTCAGGGCCCCCGACTCGGCCAGCAGCGTCTGTTTCAGTCCTGACACGGAGCTAAGGGAGGGAAGACCCAGGAGCCGGGGTGTGGAAGATCAGCCGCGAGTGCGGGGACACCCCGGGAAATGAACCCTAGGACCTTGGGCGTTTGGCGAGCGGCCACCTAGCAGAGAAAGTCAGAGACGTAGAGACGGTCACTGGAGACAGAGACCGGGAGATTCAGGGGCAGTCTCGGGAAGACAGACGCCCAGCAGATAGCGACAAAGCTCCAGAGAGAAGGGCACGGGGACCCAGAGTGAGGAAGACAAAGACCCTGGGGAGACTGAGAGCCCAAGGGGGAGGGTTCAGAGAAAGGGGGGGCAGTGAAATGAAGGCAAGACGGCTAGAGAGAGGGGTCAGAGACTCAGAGGGAAGGACAGACGTCCAGAGAAGGGGGTGGGGGAGGAAGGCCCAGAGAAAGGAGGATAGACAAAGAAGCGGGGCAACGACCCAGGGAGGGGACAGAGAAGCAGAGAGAGGGAGGGGCGCCTGGGTGGCTCAGTCGTTAAGCGTCTGCCTTCGGCTCAGGTCATGATCCCAAGGTCCTGGGATTGAGCCCCACATCAGGCTCCCTGCTCTGCGGGAAGCCTGCCTCTTCCTCTCCCACTCCCCCTGCTTGTGTTCCCTCTCTCGCTGTCTCTGTCAAATAAATAAAATCTTAAAAAAAAAAAAAAAAAAAGAAGCAGAGCGAGGGAAAGAAACGGAGAAAACTGGGCAAAGAGCTCCATATCCACCCTCACCGCCCCGGCGCAAGCCCCAGGCATAAGCCCCCAGCATCTCTCGAGTGGACAATTACAGAGGACTGCCATCTGGTCTCTCTGCTTCCACCTGTGCCCTCTTGAATCGATTCTGTTCCTTTTTATGCAGATTAGGTGGTACTGCTGTTTAAAACCTATTTCACAGCTTCTCCTTATTCTTGAAGTTTAGGCTCCTTCATAGCACATCCAGCCAGCATGCACCTGATCTAGCTCCCACCTACTTCTTGAAGTTCAAATCCTGTCCTTCCTTCCTTCCTCCTCCTCCTCCTCCTCCCTCCTCCTCCTCCTCCTTCTCCTCCCTCCTCCTCCATTTCGCAGAACACTCCAAACCTCTTCTCACCACGGGGCCTTTGCACGTGCCGTTCCCCCTGCCTGGAATGCCCGGGTCTTAGCTGCTCACCTGGCTGGTTCCGTCTCCTCTTTCTGGTCTCTACCTACAGGTCACCTCCTCAGTCCTTTATTGACCGCTCCATTTAATGAGGGTCCCCACCCATTCTTTACCCCAGGGGATGGCAAACTATGGCACCAGGTTCAGTAAATAAAGTTTTATTGGAACACAGCCACATTCACTCATTGACTTACTGTCTACAGCTGCCTTAGCCTTACAACAGCAGAGTTTGAGACAGACTGTATGGCCAGAAAATGAATGAAAATATGAACATATTTCCTATCCAGCCTTTATCAGGAAAAAATTGCTGATCCCTGTTCTAACATCTGTATCATATTATCCCATTTGTTTTCTATACAGCACTGCTCCCAAACTGAAACCGCTGATCTGCTTTTTAACCTAAAAGTTGCTTTTTATTTCTCTCCGTTCATCTCCCCTCCTGGACTGTGAGGTGTACCAAGGTAGGAGGACCCCCATCTAATAACCCTGGCACAGCGCCTGGCATTTAGGAGAAACTCCACTTTTTCTAAGTCCTTGGTTTCCTTCTTGACCACAGCCCCCCCACCCCCCAGGAACTCCCAGTCTTGCCTGAATGCCAGTGTGTCCCAGATTTGCATCTCCAGTCCGGACCGTCTCCAGAAACCCACGTATGCAACTGCCTACTCACCATTCCCCTCGTTCGTCCAAAAGCCCCTTCAGAATCAACCGGCCCAAACTGCACGCCCCACCGACATGGCCCTGTACAGCTCTCCCCATCATAAGGGCGGCAACATTGCCCTTCCCAGTGCTCAGGCTCAACACCTGGAGTCATTCCTAACTTCTCACCCTCACCATGCCCCACCTCCAGTCATTAGGGAGCCCTCTGGGCTCTACTCAACATACATCCAGAGTCTCCCTTTTATATGAAGAACCAAACAGGCCGAAGCAGTCCGTGGTGTGATCAGAAAGGATGGGGGTGGGGGAGTTGGGGGGGGAAGGCGGTAACTTGAGATCTTGAGGGGGCTTCTGGAGGCTGGTCATGTTCTGTTTCTTGGTATGGATGGGAACATATCAAGCTCTATTCTTTGGTTTCTGCATTTTTCTGGATATGTGTGATATTTTAAAAATTATATATATATATAGTCAACTAATATGTGAGAAGGGAGCCCACATACTCAATGGGGGGAGGATGGTCTCTTCAACCAATGTTGCTGAGAAAACTGGGGAGCCACATGCAAAAGAATGAAATTGGACCTCAATCTTACACCACTCACAAAAATTAACTTGATTAAACACTTAAACATAAGACCTAAAACGGAAAACAGTCCTAGGGAAAAAAATAAATAAAGGAAGACCTCCTTGACATTCATCGTGGGGACGATTTTTTGGATAGGACACCAAGAGCACAAGCAACAAAAGCAAAAGGGAGTAAGTGGGACTACACACCACTTAAAAGCCTCTGTACAGCAAAAGAAAGAATGCACAGAATGAAAAGGCAACCTATGGAATAAAAGAAGATATTTGCAAATCATATCTGACATTGGGGTTAACAGAAAAATATAAAAAGAACACATACAATATTCAACAGCAAAAAAAAAAAAAACAACCCACACAAAACCTCAATTTAAAAATGGGCAGAGAAATCGAAAAGACGTTTTTCTGAAGACATCTAGATGGCCAACAGGTATGTGAGCAAGTGTTCATCATCACTGATCATCAGGGAAATGCCAATCAAAACCCCAATGAGCTATCACCTCACACCTGTCAGGATGGCTCTCATCAAGAAGACAAGAGGTGACACTTGTTGGTGAGGACGTGGAGAACAGGGAACCCTCGTGCACTGCTGGGAATGTAAATCAGTGCAGCTACTATGGAAAACAGTATGGAGGTTCCCTCCCCCAAAAAATTAAAAATAGAGGTACCATATCATCCAGCAATCCCACTTCTCGGTATATATCCAAAGGAAATGAAAAGAGGATCTCAAAGAGACATCTGCACCCCAACATTCACTGCATTATCAATAGCCAAGATATGAAACAACCTGAGTGTCTCTCAACGGATGGATGAAGATGTGATATATACCCGTATAGCAACAGGATATCATTCAACCACGAGAAAGAAGAAAGTCCTGCCATTTGCAACAACATGGATGGACCTTGAGGGCATTATGCTAAGTGAGATAAGTCAGATAGCAGACACTGTATGATACCACTTATTTGTGGAATCTAAAAAAGCTGAACTCCAGGAAACAGTAAAAGGGTGGTTACCAGGGGATGGGGACACAAAGAGGTCCAAGGATATAAACTTCCAGTCCTAAGTTCTGGGGATCTAATGTACAACATCCTGATTATAGTTAACAATCCTGCATTATATACTTGAAAGTTGCTCAGAGAGTAGATCTTAAACGTCATCACAAGACAGGATTGTGTGAGGGGATGGAGGCATCAGCTAAAACGACCCTGGTAATCATGTTGCAATATATAAACCTATTAGTTCAACACTTTGTACATCTTAAGCTCACACAACGTTATTTCTGTCAATTATATCTCAAGAAAGCTGGGGCAGGGGAGTAGAAATTCAATTAAAAAAAAAATCCAAAATTGGGGCGCCTGGGTGGCTCAGTTGGTTAAGCGACTGCCTTCGGCTCAGGTCATGATCCTGGAGTCCCGGGATCGAGTCCCGCATCGGGCT